AGTGGTAGGGGAGTAACACAGGTTGCAGTTCGCCGGCACGCCCAAAATATAAAGGCACATCCAGTAGAGGAAAACATCATAACGCACCATTTTGTTCTTTGGAAGCAGCTGAGCCGAGGGGGCGGAGGGTATACAGAAATACAAGAACCGTTGTCCCCTCAGCTACAACCGCTCGCGGTGACAACCATCTCGACAAACGTCGAGAGACACATACATACATGCCTTATTCAAGTGTCAGGGGTATGACGTTGTTGTTGTTATCTTCACATTTATCCCCGTCATTTATCCCCGTTGCGATCTCTCTACTCAGTTCTCCATTCGTACTGGTCCAACACTCTGCGAGATCGCTCGGCGTACTCAACAGAACACTCCGCGAGATCGCTCGGCGTACTCAACAGACTAACGGCATGCTTGCTGACACTAGGGGTAGGCAAAAACATACAGCATGGAGTCCTCTGATCCTCTCTCCACGCGTGAGGCAAAAGCAAAACAGGAGAAGTCAAGTAAAACAAGTCAACACCACCACCAACGGCAGGATACACCCCATGATTCTACTTGGTACCCTAATATTGCGGGGGGGGGTGTTCGTGTGTCGGGTTCTCGCTGGTCAGGCAAACCAATTTACTCCTCCCTACCGATAATATGTCGATATTAAAAATACACGAGCAATAGTTAGGCAATCGAGGCGACGACAAACTTGCACAGGAAGCAGTCGTCCTACTTACCTATGCTGACGACAGGGAAAAGAGACCAGAAAACAGACAAAACGTAATCTGGAGGCTGTCTACGCCTCTCATACCGCTGCCCTGTGAAACCACACAACCTCCTTCCTGGTCCATGCTTCCTGGTCCAAAAATGGCCTACTTTGGGCACCACGCAGAGAGATTTAAAGTGTGTTTTGCCCGTTTTTATTTCGGCATAGTGGCAAGCACCCCTAGAATAGACACCCATGCAAATTTTTGTTGTCATCCGGGTTGATTTAGTCTCTATCTGACATACAGACGCGACTTTTGCCCTCATTTGGACGAAAATCGAGGGGGCAAAAAAGGAAAAAAAGGGAAAAGAAGCGGATGAAAAGACGAAATGCACGACCCGAGATTTAAATACTGCACTATGATGTGTCTTCGGAGAGCAATAAAACACTACACCACATCATAGCCTGAACACTTACTGAAAACTGCCATTATATAGGTCAATATAATGACCTGGCTTAGCCGGAGCCACCACACAGCACCATGGTCCAACAAAAAAAAAGCATACGTCACCTGGCGCAGAATGCTGTGTAGAACGAAGTCCTCCACCAAATTGAGTAAACTTAGGCTTGAAAGAAAGGTGAGGTCCATAGAAACACGAAGAAAAAAAAAGTCTTTCCGCGATGGTATCGGCAAGATATGTTTTTTGAAAAAGTGGTCCCTAATAGGGGGGTGGTCCTTAATACCCACACTTACTCTAGATCATGTTGTGCGAGGTGGAGAACCCTCACTCCGCGCAAGGGGAATGATCGCACCACGTTGTGTTAAAATGGTCAAGCACCTTCGAGGCAGTTACACAGTGCTTACAACTGTCTCTGGAAGTGAACGCACCAAAAAATAAATTAAGTCATACGCAGCTGTCATCCGTATGCAAGGAAGCACAAGATGCCGAACACCCTAACTAAGCAGGATGCAGCGCGCCCTTCATGCGACTCGCCGAACATCTCACGGCGCTTCGCGCTTGGTGATGTGAGAGCCTGGTCCGGTGAGAACCCGGCGTGCTCCGTCCCGGCTTTGTAGGGATGCGAGGTCAATGGTCTAACGACTACGGCATGCACGACTATGAGTACACCCCCCCCCCCCCGGTGTTTGCCTATCGGGATTGGGTTTTCGTCGCTTGGCAACGACGTTGTAAAACAAGCCAATTCACTTCGTGAACTCGGCAACCAGGTTACCGTTTTTTTTTTTTTCCTCCGTTTATTTTTTTTGGGCGGTAACCATAATGATGGTTGAGTAGATCATGTTGTGCGGGGTGAACCCTCACTCCGCGCAAGGGGGATGATCGCACCACGTTGTGTTAAAATGGTCAAGCACCCTCGAGGCAGTTACACAGTGCTTACAACTGTCTCTGGAAGTGAACGCACCAAAAAATAAATTAAGTCATACGCAGCTGTCATCCGTATGCAAGGAAGCACAAGATGCCGAACACCCTAACTAAGCAGGATGCAGCGCACCCTTCATGCGACTCGCCGTACATCTCACGGCGCTTCGCGCTTGGTGATGTGAGAGCCTGGTCCGGTGAGAACCCGGCGTGCTCCGTCCCGGCTTTGTAGGGATACGAGGTCAATGATCTAACGACTACAGCATGCACTACTACGAGTACACCCCCCTCCCATCGTGGTTCGTGGGTAGCAGGACAAATGAAAACGCTTCGTCAAACGTCAATCTGGAGCCCTCTACAATGCTCTGTGGTTGAGCGGAGAGCCTGGATTGTGGTGGCTAGACCTGCCACCGGAGGCTGGCTGTTTCCTTTAGTGCGATGTGGCGAGGGGTGTCAAGCGGGACTGAGCGAAGTCAGTCAAGCTGGGGTGGTGCGGAGGGTGGTCAAGGCCTTGTGGACTCATTTTCCCATCCTCCCAAATAAATATTCATCACCCATTCGCAGCTGTTGAGAATCGGAAGAGTCATGAGTCATGAGCCCCTTTGGAATTCTCATTGTCACAAATACATCCCCGGGTCCTACTCTTCTCTATGTACGTGTGCCTGTGCCTCCTGAATCTCTGTGTATTTCCTACCACATCTCTTCTTGTAGAGTACATAAAATGTATAGTCCACACGTAGAGGACCTGCAGAGCCAGCCCCAGGTAACCATCAGTAGCTGTTGATTTCCATTTTCTGCCGTCACCCGCGAAATTGTCTCCTGCAACTCCACTGCTACTGTGTATCCACTGCTGCTGCTACGACTATGTAGACTATCCGTGGTCAACATTTCGTGGTGCAAAACTTAGCGGATGGTCTACAGCCAGAGGCCATTGAGGGCCGACTATCGAACATGACATCGAAGAAGCGTAGCACAGCAGCATGTGAGCTGTCCCTTGGTCCCACCCAGCATAGTCTATAATCCTTTCTCCGAAACCGACACCGATCGAAGAGTTCCTTGTCTTCACATGAAAACCGTTCCGTTCTCTGCTCAGTACCGTGAAACATCCGTACCGGTCCAACTGACGCTTCCGTGGTTACAGGCCAAAACTACCCAGAAAGTATACGCATGTTATCGATGTGTTTGTGTACAATTAAAAGTGCTGCTGCGCTCCCCCCCCCCCCCCCCCCCCCCCCCCCCCCCCCCCCCCCCCCCCCCCCCCCCCCCCNCCCCCCCGTAGTGGGAAACCTAAGTAGCCCCCACCAACCGTCGCCGCTTTAAGTAACGTGGCCTTCGAAATATCTAGTCTTGCCAGGCATGGTTTTCCGTTGTCTGGAGGCTGCCTCGTCTCAGCAAGTGGAGGCCATCACGCGGGCGGGAGGGGGTCGACCCGCTGGGTTGACGGACTGACTTGACTAATACTATCCGAACAACGAAGGCACCACCAAGAACTATCACACTTAACTCCTGCTGTCCTATGGAGATTGCTTCCAGATGCCTGTCCTGCATGACCCTATGCATACAGCGGTGGTCTCGACCATATATTCATCCTCTCTCCCGAAACGAGACGCGTCTCAAAAGCTTCCGCGGCAGTTTCAGCTCTGTAGGAAACGGGCAGGATATGTACGTCTGTTGATGTTCAGTGCGTCATTTTACCAGCGTTTCGGCCAAACAGGACGGAAAATCACGCACCTAGTACTAATTAATCGGGGAATTTACTCTGCGGTACATAACTACACCGACCAGTGGCCTGATGTGCCTGTTTCCAAGCACACCTATATTCCGGCAATACGCGTTGAAAATGAAGCGCCTCTATACAAAATCCACATACAACATTCCCCGCCATGAAAGGTCATAAAAGCCTAGCCCACAAAATGCAAGGCATGACGAGTGAACACATATCAATCCAAGTCCCCGAAGAGGTTGAACCGAGTGTCATGAAACCGCTTCATCCAGAGCCCTCAAATCTCGGATCATGGACTCGGCCGATGCGATATCCCGGGCTACTTCCGCTTCGCTGTCTCTGAGCTTCGCGGCGGCACTCGCCAGGCTTGACCGTTTCACATCCGCGAATGAAATCGCTTCCGGGAGTGTGAACTCCACGTGGAATCCGAGAGCCACCTTCACGAAAACTTTGGACGGGTCTTGCACCTAGCAGTGGATGGGTTTGTGATTGGAGCGATGGAGTACCACAAGGAGTGTGAGTGTCTGGGGCACGATTCGAACAAAGGCTGAAGTGCAGCGAGGGGCGTTGTGCGAAAAAGAGAACTTCGCATATATATGCGGCTCGTTGCTTGTGAAAAAAAAAACTGGAATGTTGCTTCTCTGTGCGGGTGCAACGCTTGGTGATGAAAGTAGTCACGAACGCGGAGGACTGGGCACGTTGAGAGATTCTAGATATCCAGTGTAGATAGACAACAAGGCCGTGATACTTGAAGCCCAGCGCAGCAATGGAGAGGCTGAAGAAGGCCGCCTGTAGTAGGCTCGGAACGACGCTATGCGATTGGGTGGGACTTTGAAGCAGTGGAAACAAAATCTCCCTCGCAAGGTGAAGTAGGGAGGACGTGCTATGAGCGCTTTGTTCCTGCTGTACCACACCTGTAGTAGTACTTCTTCATCAGGAGACCCGAACAAGCCATAGTAAAACACAAAGGGCTGAGCATTGCCATCACGTAGTCGGAGCTTGTCAACACACTACACGCGCTCGACGGGACCACCAGTGGCGAGCTTTCGGGACTGCTGTGCGGTGACTCGCATCTTTTCGTGTGATGTGATGTGCAAGCAATCTGCACGAAGACGTCTTGTCTACATGTCATCACTCATGGGCAAAGAGAACGACCGTGGTATGTTCCTTGCCCATCGCTGAGGCGGGTGACCTTGCGGCAGTCACGCCTGTTCAGTGGGACTTCCTAAACAAATTGCCTCATCTGACCGGAGGTCCTGCTTACTTCCCGACAACCTACCTTAACCTTGGCGAAACAATCGGCGCCTAGGTCGGTGAGCATCTCCAGCGGTCCATCTTCCTCCCTCACCATGATGCCCGACAGCTTCTCCTTTAGCTCGGCGTACTGGCCCACCTCGTGTTCGACCTTGGCTGCCCTGGTGGATACAAAAGCCACGGCAGTCAATGATGATTGGCACAAGTTGTGCATCTTGCTCTCGAACAACATTATCGTATGTCCCCTTTCATGCACAATAGACCTTGATGCTGCCGCCGCCAGCTTGGTCGGGAGATCCCCTTCAAAAAAGGGGTAGAACCTCCTCAACTATTGTCGAGGACGATCCCCTCTTTTCACATTTCGGTGTCTGTGTTTGACGAATCAGTCAGGGTCACACAGAAGAAAGGTCACACAAGAGTTTGAGTTATTGTTGTTGTTGCCGTCTTCACACATTCAAAACCGTTGCAAAATTGAAAATCCTACCTCTCCTGCTGCTATACGTACACTTTTGCCTTGGTTTCGTCGCAAAAAGGGTTCAATTGTCCCTCTCCCTCGTCGACCGTGAGCTCCAAGTGTATGAATGGCAACGTCTGCATTTCGAGCCGCATAAGGCTGTAGCTAGGCACACCATCTCTGCTCGTTCCCTTCTTATAATGCATAGCGCCCAGCAATCAATGTGCTTGTTGCAGCAATATTCCTGTTTCTGTGCAGACCTTCTTCATGCGAAAAATCTGTGCATTGGTGCTTCGTTATTCACAATCAATCATCGAGGTCCTCCATCGCTACCCTGCCCCCGGCTATACCACGCCTTTACCACCTTATCCTCGCGGCCTCATAGCTTCCCATTGTGCCCCCCGCCCCCATGTCACACTGGAAACCAGTAAAGTGCTCGAGCAAGTCTCGTCTTATGTTGTGCTTTCCCCTATCCCTCTACAATACCTGTGAGCAAAGCCCCAACACAACGGCCCGACAACAAGTACACGTACATCAGTACAGCGACCTATATAATGCGGGGTTGTGTCCTGAAATGTTACCGGAACTTTACCGGGCACCGGCACTATTCAGAGTACAGAACAACTAGGTATTTCAGTGTGTGCGAGCCGAAGACTCCGGCACTATGCCGGGCACCGGCACCGGTCGCCCCGGTGGTCTGGTGGTGTCGTCGTAAACCGCTAGTCGCAGAGGTCGTGAGTTCGACTCCCCATGGGCTGGAATATTTGCAAACTTTGCGGGTGAAATCGAAATATGACTGAAAAAAGCTCTCGTGAGTATCAAACTTCGACGTTAGCACCGTTGAGGCTGAGTCTTACGGTGTGATTATTTCCGGATTGGATTTGGGGAGGGGGTTCCTTTTCTGAGCAAAAAAATAATTTGGGTGTCTTACTGGTAGGAACATGGCACTTTCCAACAGCCCAAAATCCAACAGCCCAAAATCCAACAGCACAGTTTCCAACAGCGATTCCGGCCGTCCTGTTAGAAAATTGGCCCATTTTCCAACAGCGATCCTGTTGGAATTTCGCTGTTAGAAATGGGGGGGGGGTACCCCCTGGTCACACCCCGATCGTGCCAGAACGAGGAACTACACCATCTGCTGGCCAAACAGAGGTCAGTATCATGAGGCCATGCACAAACCCTCTGCAGGTATCTAAAATTCAGGGCGTTCTGCGTCGTGTTGGCCGCACACGAGCCGAAACCGTCAACCTTGCCACATTACTCTGCTGACGTTCTTGCCTTTGGGCCGAAAAGAGCCGTTTTTGGGCCGGCTGCGTGTGTGACCAGTTCAAAACGCATGCCAGAGAGAGGCCTTAAGCCGTCGACATCCACAAACTGCAGCCAATGGCGTGTGGTCATACTCATACCCTCTGCTTGCGTACCAGAAACAGAGCGTATTGTCCAGTTTTGATTGCACACGGCCTGCAAACGTGAACCAAAGTGTGTTGCGGTGTTGACTTTTTGGTATTTTTTCTTGTTCCGCCGCGTGTTTGCTCCGTGTGTCACCCGCGACCAGTCAAAAACGCATGCTGGAGAGAGTCCTTTGCCGATGACATCCACAAACAGCAGCCAGTGGCGTGTGGTCATACACATACCCTCTGCTCGCGTCCCAGAAGCAGAGCGTATTGCCCAGTTTCGATTGCACACGTCCTGCAAACGTAAATCGAGGTGTGGTTCGGTGTTGCCTTTTTTGGACGTTGCTTTTTTTTTCTGCCGCTTGCTCCGAGTCTAGTGTACCTTTTTCTGTCTGTTATTTCTTGCTATTGTCGGCCTGGTCCCTTTTTGTCCTCGCTCTTTTTGTTTCATTTTCTCTTTCCTTACTGTTTCCTTCTATTTTCTTCTCTTTTTCTCTGTTTCTCTCTTTTTCTGTGCCAGATGGCGTTGTCTCTGCTTGCGTTGTCAAGTACCAAGATTGGACCATGGGGGTGTACCTCATTCTCTCCGGCCCGTGATGGTGACCCCTAGTCTCAGTTGTTACCTCGCATAGCGCGCAGAGGGAGTGGAGGACTCCAGAATATCTGTCGTTGATTTCTATTGCCTTGCGGACCCCTCGGGGCCATTTTATTTGAGTGCACTNCTAGTCTCAGTTGTTACCTCGCATAGCGCGCAGAGGGAGTGGAGGACTTCGGAATATCCGTCGTTGATTTCTATTGCCTTGCGGACCCCTCGGGGCCATTTTATTTGAGTGCACTTTTGTAGGGTAAGTTAGCCTGCGACCACGGGAATCGACCGCGTCGAGTGTTGTATCAGTACGGACATACGGAGGTACTGGGTAGAGAGAGATCGGAACGGTTTTTAATGTGAAGACAACAACAACAACAATAAAGTGTGATCAGTGTACAACTCATGCCACCAGAGAAAGGCCTTTGGCGGACGACATCCACAAACTGCAGCCACTAGCGTGCCGTGATACACATGCCCTCTGCAGGCGACCCATAAACAGGGCGCTCGGTGTATTGTTGGTCGCGCACGAGCCAAAACCGTGTACTGAAGCATGTTGTGACTCACGAGAACATGAATCAGCCTCTTTTTCCCCTTCAGAAAAAAATCTACCTATAGGAACCGTAAGACGGTCGTTTGGATCTCGATAATTTTGCCGTGCAGGCCACCCCCCCCGACCGAGAGAAAAAAAATCTCCGAAATAATCACGCCGTATGACTCCGCCTGACGAGGGAAAGGGACAGCTGGACCCTTATCGCGATAAAAATAAATATTAAGCACGCACCGCAGGAGGAAGGTGGGGTGGGGGGGGGGGCGTGTACTCATAGTCGTGCATGCCGTAGTCGTTAGACCATTGACCTCGCATCCCTACAAAGCCGGGACGGAGCACGCCGGGT